GGTCCTTCAGCCTTCCCCGTTTTGCTACTAAGGTTACTTCAATGAATGAAAATTTTTGCATCGGAAATGTGTATGTTGTCAGGCTTGGCACAGATGGTCTGCGGCCAAGAAAAAGGTATGAACATACCAAAGGCTCCCCTTCCCCACTGTTGAGTCCTCATCATCGTCCGTATCCCCCCTTTTAAGGCTACTCTTGCGTCCTATTTCTTCTAACCCGTTACCTTGCGCGGTATCATCGGGTGGGAAATTTTGGTTGCCGTTTCCTTTGACAGCGTCCCCCCCCCCTGAGTTCAGAGTCATACTTTAGTCACTTCGGCCGTTCCTGGGGGGCATCCCAGTAATATTGTGGAGCGGAATTATCGGTCCCCTTGCCTCCTGCGGTTTCCTCTGGAGTGTACAATGCTTGCAGATTTACTTGAACGGATAACATTTTTCTCGGTTTGGAGAAGGTACGTACTTGGGGCAAGATTTCCTCCATTTGAGGGAGAGATCCCTCAGGTTTCTCAATATTTTTATACGTCAGGCCTTTCCTATGGAAATAGATTTGACGCAGTCTTTAAAACCTCAACAACTGTCAGTTTTTAGTGGATTACCGAAAGTAATTAGTGTATTATTCAAACATTGTACATTTCAGGTTTTTTTCCTTTTTAATGAATTCGTTTCATTCACAGAACTGAAAAAAATGCAAGGACTTCTGAAAAAAGGAGACTCCAGTCCTTTATTTCTGCCTATCTCGAAAACAAGAAGGAAAGAAAGAGAATAAAAGAAATAAGATTCGAATGAGCAGAGAGAGAAAAAGAGCACAAATTCAACAGATAGAAATGCTTGAGCATCATGAGGAGACGTAATGATACAAAAGGACACTGGATTGCACAGGCAGGTCGGCAGTTCCTTCCAAAACATCGAGGAAAAAACGCAGAGAGAGAGAGAGAGAAGGAAAATAAAATTCTCTCCATCCATCCTTTCATTCATCCGAATGCATTGGAATGTGGCTTCCAGGCTCTCTCTCGATTCTCCTGGACCAAAACAGTGACAGAAGGGAGGATGAAACGCGAGAAATGGGAATGGATGAATGGCACTGACTGACATCATGACATCTTTGTGGAGGCTTTCTTTCCCCTAAGAGGTTTAGACATGGGGTAGGGAGGGGTACATTCCATGACTGCAGAGAAAGGAAAAACAGGAACCCCTGTGAGATGTTATTGAGGCGAATGATATCTCATGGGAGATGTGGTGGTTGTCATTCACTTTCCCAAAGGATTCCAGGGATTCGTGCATGATCGAGGGATAGGGCAAAATACCATGATGGTTCTGCTCGAGATTCGAGTGGAACCGGGATCACAAGGTGGAATCTTTAAGGTCAATATCTCGTGAAACTCACAATACAGAAAATTTTGATGCAGTTTTCTTTTTCTCAACCTCGACAGTTGCAGGAAAAAACTGCTTCAAGAATTACCACTGAATTTCAACAGCTTCCACACGGAATGATCCAAAACAAATACAATGCTGAAAATTTTCATGTTGGCTACAAAAACACATGAAAAAATGAAAGAGAATTTGAGAAGGCCACAATTCAATCAGATCCCAGAGCAACTTATGCAGCTTCAAAAACCTGGCTAACTCAGTTCTAAGGGAGCAGAGGAACCATCTAAACTCCATTGCATATCTATCAGCAATTGGTGTACATCACGTCACATTTTCTTGGGGAAAGAGGTTAAACTACAATACGGTGAACGAATCAAGCACGTGTTGATATGTAACCTTGAGAATCAGGTTAAAATCCCAAAATGGATTTCCAAAACACAGCTGAACCGTGGAAATCTAAGCCTATTGCCATCTCTTATGTGCATGTTTAGTAGGCTGAAATGAATGCCATACAAATATTGTTCAAGCTCAAAGGTAAATTGAGAAATATCACACAACAGTATAGAATTTGATTCAATTTCTCTCCCGGAAAGTCATTTTCAATCCAAGCCCAGTTACCAAATTTCAAATAAATCTTGAACTGCTTACACATTATTCCTGAAATTTTCTAAAGTTGAATTCAAATGATACTTGAATCAAATCTTGATATGAAATTAATCCAGGTCAACGAACGATTTTGGTACATCCCAAGCTTTCAGAAGATCTCTGAAATGTGAGAGAATTCAGAGCAAAAATGCAGATTGAAATATCTGAAGCAAAACTATTGACACAAACATACTTGTTCAGGCTCATTCTTCTCCATTTTCTTTAGGAAAGGGATGATTTTATCCAGAATACTGTCCAAGATGACTGTAGATATTGGGCATGGCCCATAAAGTGACAGCAAAAGGAGAGATGAAGTCAGCGTGGCTGGGAATTCTAGTACTTTCATCACCAATAACATCTCATAATTTCTAACATTTTTTTTTTACTTTCAAAAATTTCTTCTGCCTTCTCCCCCCCCTGCAAACTGCCTATCTTTGAAGATGAACTGAGGCAGCTTAGGTAATCACTTGGGTGCACATTTGTGCCTTTCTTTGAATGTCAGAGGAGGTTTTTATCAGCATTTTTGGGAATACTATAACTTTGAAATGGTCAAAATTTCATAGCACCATAAATATGTTGTCAGCTTCACATTAATTGATTTCAAAATCCATTCCAACCAAGATGAGACTTTTAGGAAAACCTGACATAAATTAATTACAAAAAGCAGTGGATGGCTGAGCATCCCCCCAATTACCACCCATTACCATGCAAATTTCACATCAGATGATGCACACGCAGTAAGTTTGCTGCTGGACTGGGTCTGACCAGTCTGCATTGAACAAGGTGTTTTTCACTAGAATATTTTCTAGAAAATCCAAAGATGGAATAAAATCTGTCAGGGAAATTCCTCTGTAAAAGTGAACAGCATTCAACAATGATAACTTCCCATGATTTCCTGGAATTCCCAGCCACATAATAAGACTCCATCTTTCACATCACAGCCATGAAACTGCCAAAAGACAAGGGGCAGGAGAAGTCAGGGTGAACTGCATGCAATCAGATGCCTGTAAATGCAAGATGCAGATGCAAAGCTTACTTTTCTCAACATCTCCTCCATTGGAGGTACATTTCAGCTTTGATGTACATGTTCCATGGGTGGCAAGGGACTCAGCAATACAAGGGATGTGATCATTTGCAACTAAGTAGGCAAAAAGCCAAAAAGAAAATTACTGCAAAAACGACATAATGGGTTCATGCACAAGTAACCCATAAATGGTTTATGCATTTGTTTTTAGAAACTCTCATTTAAGTGGGGCAGATGGCTCAGCCATAACCAGACAGATGAGAATTCAGACAGGAAGAGAAGAACTAGAAAGCTTAAGGTAAGCAATGTAAGAAGCAAAGTCCTTCTGCGATGAGGAAACAATTTCTAGGGGATTTCATCAAATCAAGTATTTGTGCATTACATGGCTTCACATCTGATCCCTTCATTTATAAAATTTTGGTCCTCCCCCTCTGAGGATTCCTTATAACTCTTTCCTATGTTAATTCATGACAGAACTTGAGGAAGACCAAAGTTTTATAAGGTCACTGTTTCTTACTCACTTTGCATAATCCTGCTGAAAATTACCTTGCAAAGGTTAAAAAAAAAACTACCAATCCTTCTAATCACGATTGAACCACAAAAAGAAGCATTACAGTTCCACATCATGTCACTCAAGAGAGCATGTCATCATGGGAGCCTGCATCAATTTGCCATGCTGAAGGGCAAGAGTTTCTGCATTCAAGCCTTCACTACATCTGTAATATCCATAAACATGTGAAACACAAACACTTGAATTATGCATACCGGTACCTGAGAACTTGAAGAGAGCAAACTTCAAGCATAACAAATGCTGTCCATCAAGCCCTAATCCTAATTTGGTATCAAGCAATGCTATGAACCAGCAATAAGTCAATTTAGCTTGCTCCTTGAAATTCTGGCCTGTATTTTAGGTGTAGTTGTTTCCCACAGGAGCTTTGGAGACTTCAATGTGAGCAGACTAAATATAACAAGATATCAAAAAACGATATTTCATAAACATACCTATTTGCTTTGAAAGAGAACAGGAAACTATGCTTTCTATATCTAAATTCAATAATTAGGAAAAGACCACGGAAAAGAATTAGCTTCCCATGGTGGAATAATGGCATTTTTCAAATTTCAAAAATGTTCTTTGTCCAAGCATAATGATCCCAGTGTAACAATGAGCAAGTATGATTACTGGGCAATTGAGAGGCCTTCATGTCAGACAACAAGACGAGTGAGCAAACAAACAAGGATGACAATCACAACGCCCAGAAGCTTGAAGAAGCCAGAATCTGAAAGATAAATGAGGATCACCACAATAATTCAAGTGGGAACCCCACCCTCATCCACAGCCAGACACACACAGAAAATGGCACACATAGCTCATACATTGATTAGCAGCGCCGAGAGAAAGCTCAACCAAACAACATGTACAGGTACAAGTTTTCGCCATAAGAAAGTTTTCACTCTTTCCTCTCCACCAGATGAATGGTGGGATTGTAGGCAGTGATGCCTCACGGATCACAGCAGGCGATAAGATGGAAGCCAGATTCGATGCAAGGGAGTCAGAAGGGAGGAAGAAGCCACCTCGCACACAATGGTTAAAAAAACAAAAAGCACAAAAGAGCAGGCAGATGACGGAGCTTCTCATGAGCAGCATAGTACCTGGCAGTTTCCATCAAGTCTTTACCATTCCTTGTTGGCATTTTTTTGTTGCTTAAAAGTCCTCTATGAGTGGTATGGAGTGACATAGGTGGCAGGGAAATACCCTCTCCGGTTCCCAATCTCCCCTGTCCACCAGTTCTGGTCGGAACGATCTGTGACGGTGATCACATCCCCTCTTCTAAATTCCAGCTCGCCTGCCTCTTGGGGGACGAAGTCGTACAATGCTTGCACCAACATCTGCAAATTGCACTTGAAATCAGAGTCCTCCATGCTATAGAACTTAATCATGATCAATACCATAAAATACTAGAAGGTCAGCCAAAAGTGTTTTTAGCTTTATACCATATGGCATTGGCCTGAGAAAAAAGTGTTCAGTTGACCACAAGGTACAGACAGGAGGATAGGAACGATGGACAAGAGGAATTACGACTATCTGGAAGAATGGCAATAAATAGAATTTGCTTTTTTAACATTTAGGCTGTAACTATGGCCTCCTTGATCATTAAGGCCTAATCTTATTTCCACAGGTGCTTAGTTTGGCACTGGATGTCATAATTCTGCCCAATACCAATGTTTACTTTTTCTTTACAAATCAGCAGCAACAATAAAGGGGAGCAATAACCCATAGCCAAGTAAGTATGGGATGTGGAGGAAATTTGGGAACTGCCTGAAATTCATACAATCTTTACAGGCTTATTGATTGTTAGCCAAAAAAAATCAATATTAACACTCAATTTTATATGATGTTGATTGCATTGGCAACAACACAAGGAAGTGCAAAAAATAGGACATGCATCAAGAGAAGAGGGGATGACCGACCTCTTCAGGAACCATGTCTCGCAACATGACGACCTGGGAGCGGGAGATGGACGTGGAACGGTGATAATCAACCAGTTCGTTGAGGGAGGAGAACTTGGTGACCCATAGGAAAAACTTGCACTGGGGGTCCCGGAGCACTTTGAAGTGTTGTACCCCATCTCCACACCTGCCACAAGGAAGGTCAATATCTTCACTCACATCCACAACTTAGGCTACAGCTTACAATCAATATGACCCTTGTATTTAATATAGATGAAACAGAATCTTGAATTGGATACGTAGGATGGCAAAAGAAATAACCATTATTCATTTTGCAGAATGACCTTCCCTATAGAAAAAAAAAAATTTTAATTTAAATTGTGCTTATTCCTTTCAACACTACTGTCACAAGTCTAACTGACAAAGCCCCTGCACATCTGGTCAATGGGATGGATCAACCATGAAACCGAAAAGTTTGATACTCAGTGAATTTTCCTGAAGACAATCGGTAGTAACTATGTGAAGTATATTGAAGAGATTCTATGGGAATGAAGAGATGAAAAAAAAAAGAGTTAAACACATGACCATCTGGGTTCTCGTAGTTACAGGGTTAAGATTGCCATGGTATCAAGTCAACCTTTATTTATTTTTTAAAGTATTGTATGTGTTATGCCTGTTCCAGGCAAGTTACCTACCTGTCCTTCATAACCAACCATCAGTTTTGGAACATTACTTGCAAGCAGTACAGAGGTCTGCTGTTCTTACTGCTCCACCCCTATGATTACCAACTGGAGATGCCAAATCAGCTGCTAGTGAAGCAGTCACTTAACACCCACCCCCTTACCATTTTCTGAAGAGGATGTTGGGAGTCCTCCTTATCGAAGTAGGATGAACGCTTCTCAATTTTTAATTCAAAACCTGATGGCAAACTATCAAGTGCTTATTCTACAGTAATTGTCCCTCACAAAGCCCCTTCCATTTAGCTGAGTCCCCAACTATGAATGACATATGAAGCCATTCTGACACAAGTTGGCCTGTTCATCATTTTATGCAATTACAGTTTAAGAATTATGTGCACCAAGACCATTTCCATAATTGTAGGTAGAATGCACATTTGCTAACATGCAAAAGAGGAAAACTAGGTATGTATGCAACATACGTTTGAACTAATGCTTCATAGGGAAAAGAAAGAAATGACTCTTCACTATTTCTGTTGGTTGATCAGTGTTCTCCTACTTTGAAGTATGACATAGAACCAACAGAGAACTTAGAGTGAATGCCAAGTCATTGATGTGTGTGGTCCATGGTTCTGATGTGGGTCTCATCAAGGAGTCTTTCTCTATTTCTGACTTTACATGCACTAATAAACACAAACATGAATTCACTATTGCCACAGTATTGACAGGAATACCAAATTTCCAGCACACATTCAAATATCAGTCCGACAGACAAGACAGTGAGGACTCACTTGACAGAAAGGGAGAAGTCACCAGGAGAGCTCTCGCTCACCCTGACCAGGAAAGCACCCTCGTGTTTGTTCTGCAGAAGTCGCTCTGCATCTGCTCTCGTTATCCTTCCATAATACCAACTAGAGAGAAATGCAGTTTGAGTGTCAAGGTAAGGAGTTACCTCCAATTTTTCAAAGATCAAAGGGACAGAATTCCAGAACTTACTCATGAGGTCTCATTTCAATATAATTACTGGGAACAAGTCCTTCTCTCCCCTCAAGCTCAGCCTTGTACCAGTTCATGTCATCTTCCATATTGAGGATCTGCAAGCATTGAATAACATCTCTTTATAGCACAAATTCCACAGCAGTATAGGAAGAGTCTCAGGTTATAAACGCATGCTGAAACCTGGATTCATATGACTGGAAAGCCTAAGACTATTCTCATCAGACCAGTACTGACTACCATGCATATAGAGTATTGAAAAAACTGCTTATTGCATGAAGAGCAAAAAATGGCTCTTTAGCTTCTAATCACTAATGTCCATGCAAGATAGTGATGACAGGAACACTTTCCATGTTATGCTGCATATAATATCACACTATCTTTTCACTTGTCAGCACTTTTTTCAACAAAATATTCTTGAAGACCAAATGTAGTGGGAATCCTACCTTTAGGACTTGATTTTTCCTGAAGCTCAGCTCATCATCAGCTGTTGCATTGAAATCATGCTTTGCAACAGCCTCCATACCTGGAGCCTTTTTTAAAAAATAATATTTTGTCTCAGATCTGAAAAAAAAAGAGGAAAGTTCTGTTATGGTCCTACACACAGGTCTAAATAAATGTGATGCAAAAGGCAGTTTTCAACTTTCTAGAAAAGCAATAAGTGAAAGTTGACCAAAAAGAGCTCCTTTTCAAACAATTCAATTCAGGGTCTAGATTGTAATCATCTTCCACACATAAACAATGTACATCCCATGGGTATGATTATCATTTGAGAGAAGCAAAGCTTATTCCAGAATGGTGTTTATGGCATTTGATGAAATCTCTTTAGACTCATTGAGAAGAAAGGTGTCAGGATCAAAATGTCTCTTTCACATACAATAGCAGCTGCACCATTCCTATGCAATCCACATGCAAATGAGAATCTTCCCATCCTGCAATGGCAAGTGACCATACAGCCAATGCCCACCTTAAAGTCAAACTACGCTTTTGTCTGCCAAGCATTTCAGTGACTTAAATTAATTTGGTATTCATTCCACAGGAGAGATGCTTAAAACAAGACTCAAACCAGAAAAACTTGGCTTGCATAAACATATAGTGCCTGCTCTTCACTTCCTTGGTGCTAATGTAACACTTGTCAATCAGAAGCAAAAACTGACTAGTTTTTTTTATGGGAGGGGAGAGGGGGGAGTGGTTCACTTGCACCAGCAGAATGGGAAGGCACCTCCCCTTGGTTGCACCACTGCATCCAACACATCATACAATGTATGTCCTATGTTAACCCTAGTACTGCAGGTCCCAGATTATTACAGGAGCAGACTGATGACGTTATAATCAATATAGCAGGAATTGGGTGAAGTACTTCTAGAATGCACATGAATCCTTTCAAAGGAAAGAGATGCACAAAGCCTTCTCCTATTCTCTGTGTTCTCATTAATTTGGCTACTTTCCTCTCCTGAGTACATGCAATTCAGTTATAGAGGAAACCCCTTTGATCAATTTTGCAAGAGCAATCTCTCTAACCTCTGACATGAATAATTCAGTTTTCTCTTCCATTATTAGCTTCAGATTCTCTATCAAACATGCTGTGATTTCGATTATCAGCCTGAACAGTCTTAATCTTCAGTCTTTATCACTCTCTGGTTTAAGAGCAGTACTTTGATGGAATTATGGACGTGTCACATGTATTTCTGATTTATGTCCCTCTTGGCAAACTGAAATGGGAAATTATTTCAGAAACTCACTCTTGTGACTCCATCAATATCAATGAAGTGGAAAGTGATTGGAGCAAACAAGATCATCTAATATGTTTGGCCATAAGCTGACAACCATTCCCTACCCCATATTTTTGGTAATGTGTGGGAAAGTGCCAGAATCCTTATTTCATTTCTCTCCAAGTACTCATTCAACTAAATATAAAACATGATTACCTATTACTTCAGCCCATTTTATCACTTGTAATTTAAAAAAATGAGTGGTAAAGAAAATTATGACAAAAAGAAATAATCAAGCACTAGCCTTCAGTAAATCAATTGCCTATGAAAGCCCAAATGGAGCTGTAGCCCCAGGAAGCAACCTATCCAAGCTGAGATGGAGAAAACTCTAGATAAATTTAATTCCAAACATAAACAGGGGTTGCAAACACTAGGTTTCTTGCCCTGACCTCCAGCCCATGTGTCCTGGGAGTCCAGGGACCCCTGGAATGCACAGGCAGAAGGCCTAAGACTGCTGGATTGAATATCATACTTCTTGGTTACATTAAGTCAGAAAATAAACATGGATTGCTGGACTTTTACTTTTGGGGGACCCTTTAAGATTCCTTCAGGCTTCAATTGGAAAGTAACCCCATTAATTTTAAGGGAACCCTTCCATAGACCTGAGGCTCCAAAGAATCCCTATAAGCAGACACCTAGCATAACCCCTGAATGTATCCACATGGCTGTGTTCCAAGAAATAGTCAGACTAGAGATGAAGATAGGGTAGGCCTGGGCTCACCCTATTTCCATTGACGATTCACTACTGCTCAATATCACAAGCTGGCCATACTACACACTAATTCAGTCCAGCCTAGACTGTGCTGAATTGATAAGGGGCATCGTAAGAGCATCGAGTTAGTGGTGCAGTCAGAAATGACAGGAGCAACGCAAAATAAATGTCTAACCTCCTGAACTGCTTCGGAAATGAGTGGGGACAGCAAATTCAAGGTCTTTAATGCTTTTACTACAAAGAATGACTTCATTCACCTGCAGTTCTATTACCACTTCAAAATTCATGCAGCAATAGGATTAAAGTGCAGGTGCCTCTATGGCTTAAAATAATTCCCTCAAGTGCCTAGCCACTCTAGAAGACCTTCACATCTGATATTAAGGTTTGGCCTAACAGATTTGATAGAAGCTTCTGCCTGGAAATGTGTTTTTTTATAGTTTTTTTTAATACAATTATTGCATACATTTTCAAATTTGAAGTCTTCAATGAATTTCCAACAGCCCTACTTCTAAGGAAGAGCACTACCTTTGGTTTCAAAACATAAGGAGTGCAATAACAACCCTGACACAGTAATAGTTTCAATGATATCATTAATAATGCTTTTAAGGATTAGTAAAATATATATGAGAAATCAATGATGAGCAGCAATAACTGAGAAGCAAGAAGAATGGAAATTGGATTAGAGGTTTACAGGTCCAATGAAGAGGCCTGCATGGTAGGTATGCTGCATGAAGATCTCATTCAGGGCCAGATGCCAGTGAAGGCTGAGAATGAAGGGAGAGAGGAACCAAGAAGAAAGAAAACAAAAAGAAAAACAAGTGTCTGGGTCTATCTTGTGACTTATATCCACAGAAGAGAGTTTGGCTCACTACCAAGATACTTTCCTCTCTCCTTATTCTTTCACTCATTCATTTTTGTGGCATTGTTCAGTCTATTATTTTATTTGGCATTCAATGCAAGCAATACCAGACAAATCCTGAATGAAGATCAGAAATACTGTACTAGATATCCCATAATAAGGTATTCCACTACATTGATGAATACATATCTGAAAATGCATCAGCCAAAACCAATATCAACCACAGAAATGGAATTAATAGTGCCATCAGCTGGCTTTCAAACTACAGTTGATGCTTGCTATTACTAAATTCAAGAAAGAGTCTCTTTCCTTCTCTGCAACATGTTTTCATTAAAACATTATGAGGAAACTTTGAAAAAAGCAACTACATTTTTGCTACAACTGAAGATGAAGTAGAAAAAAACTAGTGCATACAGTAAAGCATTGCTTTGAACAAGGCATGACTAATCAAATACATGATTAATTTATCACTGTGCAATGTGTAAAGGTAATACATATCCCACTACAATTAAAACCATGTTACCACTCCATTGTCAGCATGCTATGGGATGGAACTGGCATGAAAGTTTTGTGTTCCGTTATAAAAACTTGTCTATAAAAACAACATTTTATCATTTGTACAGGGAGATGATGAGGCCAACCATATGTTGATAAAATTTTTGTTAAAGGGTACTTTGTTAAAATGAGAGCCAACTGTATTGGTTCCATTGTCACAAGAACAAAATCCCAAAAAAGAGGGAGAAATATGCATGTGAATAAAACCTGATGCATTAGAGCTACACCTGCCCTCTCTTTCATTTCATTTCTTTTGGTTTTCCAAGCAAATGCATCAATAAGTTAATGCATGTGCACTCTTCATATGGGCACCAGTACTGACATGAACAGACTAGGTTCTGTGATTTTCATTGGGTGAGGTTTACCATGAGAACTTTGCTATCATGATGGTTCACTTTGACCAATGTAAAGAACATCCTGAATCACATGTGTACATACAACACAGGAATCTCAGTTTCACCTACAACTTGAGTGGCAAAAATTGAACCATACCCAGGTAAGCCTATTTCAAGTCTTCCCTACTAGTAGAATTTACTATCAATTAGACTTAGATTTAGGCCTATATGATTTTAGTCACACCTATGAGGATTAGCTTCATTTTTCCTAAATCAGTTTAGTAGCAAATTTTTAATTTCAAAGAAGGTCAAAGTGTATTGAATCTAAGATACTGGTATATGAAGGCCACCCTTAACATCTAACTGATTCTGCATGTAGTCCATATAAAGGTCAAGTCCTCAAGGTCCTACTCACTGTTTATGCTAATGCACATTTGAATCTCAAAACGATATTTCCAGGAATTATAGAAGGAACAACTGCAGTTTCTGGAATGCTGAACAGGAAAACATCATCAAAGATAACCGATGTAGCAATTCAAAAATGATAATGTTCATGCCACAAGAGAAAGCACATACCAAGGAATTCCCTATCAAGTTTCCCACAATAAGTAGTGTGGATGAACTAAGTATGATGTCAAGTGAATACGATAAATGCATGAAGGGTAGCTCCCATTAAGCCTAACTTAGGCCTAGCCCTAGTCCTTGACATATGGGAAAGGGTGGTGATCCAGGTTCATACAACGAAACGTGAAAATAAAAGAAAGTGGCACTGCCAACTATACCGTCATGGGATATACTGATTCAATCTGGAAATGTACACAACAACATTATGAAGCGTCTGCGTTTTCACAATGACATCGGATTTAGGAATTTCTGTTGGACCTAAAGTTAAGCCGACACTCGAAACGGACATTAGCGAAGTCCCGGTAACGTGATGGCTTAGGCCTCGCATGGCCTGGAAAACCATCTAGGCCTATAAGATACCCTCCGGATGCGAGTCCATACGGTTTCTTGACGATAACGTTAGAAATGCCATAAACACTTAGCGATAAAGGAAGCAGAAGGCACAGGCATACTTTGACTCATAGCTCTAGCCCAGACAAGACCCTTCCCTTGTCAGAACCTAGTACGGCATCGCCATATCAGGGCATATTCGATTTTTCGACGAAGCAGATATGTGTACTCCCTCGCTTCGCGCAGAGTAAGCCTTTTCCCCCCCGTATGGCAGGTGCCAATGAGCGCAGAATTAGCTACGATTATTTAGTAACAAGTTAGGTGTCATATTTGGAGAAGTCGGAAGCTGCTTTCCGAAAATGAGGGTTCCGACACTTCTAAACCAATTAGAGCCTGATT